CAAAATGAAGCAAACACTATGGAAAAAATAATAATAAAGTGTTTTTATTTTTTTCTGTGAGCAAGTTAAGTGAGAAAGGAGTAAGTGAGAACTGTTAAGTGGTAATATTTAAACTGCTATATTAGAGAAAACAGTATGGACACTTTATCTTTCCGTATTGTACAAATGGCAGCATGACTGGATTTTAAGCTATGGTAAGGCAAATGGATGAATTCTCTGCTCTAGCTTGTAGACCCTGTTATAGGTAATCAATAGATAAGACCCCTTTATAACTCAGTAACTGAATGAACTGTTCCGGTTTTAATTTTAATTACCCATTCACAAATTGAATGTTTGAGGTTAGAAGAATTTACTTTGAGATAAAAGTATTGGCTTTTTCCCCCTTGGTTGGGACATGAAAGTTTATGTAACTAAACATAAGCCGAAAAGGATTTCCACAGATCCTAGAAATTTGATTGGCCAACTGGGCATTTCAAAATCATTATTTCTCTTGGAAACTATTGTTTTGAACCACAGAAAACTGTTGATAGTCACCAGTTTTTGACCTAGGAGATGACAATTTGATGAGATTCTCTGTAATCATGCTAATTGATTATATAGTTTAAATTTTGGGATATGCTTTAGTTGCTTTTTTCTATATGTAAGCTTATTTCACCAAATAAACTATTTCATTATCTTATTCAAGAAACATTTATTGAACACATATTACACAGCAGTTACTGCGGTGTATGCATGCCCATGGAATGGACTATGTTGGCTGTCCCAGTGGGGCATGCAGTCTAATGAGTCAGAAAGACACATAAGCAAGCAAGTACAAGATAGAAAAGTAGAACACTGGTTTATAGTTGATCAATAAATGTTCTTTCCCTTCTTCTCACAATGGACATAGAAGTGCAATGTGTTAAAGGAACACAGAAGAATGAGTCTCTATAAATTTAAACAACCTGGAAGGATTCATTGCAGAAAATACCTCCTGTTTACCTTGTGTTAAAAGACCGTATAATAGGTAGATAACTAGCCTAAGGCTTCAAATATTTGACTTCTTATATTAACTCATCACATATTAGGGCTTTTTTTAAACCTTAACAACATTATTTAACTTTCTTATACTTTAACTTTCTTAACTGCAAGATGAAAATTATAATCTCATTTGCCTTCCTCCTATATTTGTTGAGGGTCAGATAGGATAATACACATGAAACAATTTTTCAAATTATAATTTATAATATTAACAAAAAATACAATCTTCATCATCATCTTTCTTATTACCAGTCTTATTTTCAACAAGACCTTTCAACAAAGTGCTATGTAAAAGATCAAGGAGGATAATCACCTTGATTTGTATTTTCCCAAGTCCAGACTTAATAATACATTCGAGGATGAGTACCACATTTGGCCTTAAATAATCATTTTAGAAAAGTAGATGAGTTGTTTAGCCATTTGTAAGTGTTTCGAGCAGTGCTCAATAAATAATGAATGAAGGGTCTGCTGGTAGCAGATGGATAATTATGTTCAGCATTTTTTTAATGAAGGAGAATTTAGAAAAATATCTACAATTCAAAGAAATTAACTCTCAGATAATAATAATTCCCATTATTAGAGAATGTATGACATGCCAGGCTTGTTGATTTATGGGTATCATCTCTTTTCAAGTTTAGAACAACCTTTTGAAGTTGACTCTATTATGATCACTCTAATTTTACAGATGAGGGAATTGAAACCTAAAAATTCATATAACTTCCCGCAAGTCACAAAATGACTATCTCTGATGATAGAATTTATGAACTTAACTGCTATACTTTTTACAGCTCTGATCTAGCTATCGTTACCACCCCCATGTTTATACTCTCCTTCCTACTTAGTAATCCCCATTTTCTCCAGAAAAGCCCTCAAGGAAGGCACTCATCTCTCTGAGCTTTAGTTTCCTCGCCTATAAAATCGGGCTACTTTTGGAGATTCATCAATAAACAAATCATATAAACTCTATATCCTGGGAACTCATATTCTAGTTGGAGGAGACAGAAAATAAATATATACATGTTATCTCTACTTTTGAGATGTTTTATCAACAGAAATGAAACAGAATAAGGGGACAGAGAATGATGAGGACAAGGGTGGTTATGTTTTAAGCAGCATAACCAGGGAAGACCTCTCTGAGCAAGTTTAGCAGAGCCCTGAAGGAAGTGAAGAAGCAAAGTATACAGGTATTTGTATGAAAGGTGGCACTATTGTCATGGAGTGCAGGCAAAGGTATAGGTCTGTCTGGATGAAGGGCATTCCAGGCAGACGAACAGCATGTGCAGGGTTCCTGAGAAAGCACTATGCTTGGTGTGCAGGAGAAACAATCAGGAGCCAGTGTGGTGGTCAGAGTGGAGTGAATATGAGCGATAGTTGTAGGCAAATGAGATCAAACAAGCAGGAGAGATGCGGGAAAAAAAATATGAATGGCCATTAGGACTTTAATGTTACTCTGAGTGTTGTGAGAAGCCATTGAGCATTGAGAAGGAATATGATCTGACTTTAATTCAAATAGGATCCCTCCACTGTGTGGAGAAATTAGAAGCAGGAAACCCAGATATTGGATGAGGCTATGGAATACTCCAGTTATCCAGATAGAAATTGGACCAAGACAAAGCAATAGATGTGTTTGGAGAAAAAAACCAGAATACTGCTACACAGAATTTCCAGTACATGGGTGATAGGATATAAAGGTGATAAGGTATAGAGGTGATACAATCCAAAAAGAGAGGGTATGAGACCAAAAAAAAAGTTTCAAGGTAGACATTGGCCTGAGCTACTAGAAAAATCATTCCTGAAATGGTGCTTGGCACACAGTAAGAGCTTAAAATGTTTAGTTGTATGAATGAATGAATGCAACTGCCATTAGAAAAAGTCTTTGTCGAGTTAAATCAAAATGAAGAGTTTGACTGTAGACAGGTTGATTTTTGAATCCTCCAAGTAGAGGTCTTGAATAAGCAGTAGTACATACAAGTCTGCGAGTCTGCTGGAGATTTAAGTTTGGCGGTCTTCAGTTTATAGATGGTGTTTAAAAGCATTATACGATCACCTAGAGATTGCGTATAGATAAATAAGAGGTCCACTGATTTGAGACCTGGGGCACTCCAAGGTTCATTGGCCTGTGAGACAAGACACAACTAGCAGTGGATGTTGAGCAGAGTTATCACTGAGGCAAGAGGAGAAGCAAGGGAGTTGTTTCATAGGAGCCAAGTGAAAAAGGTGTTTCATAAAAGACAGAGTGATCATTATGTCAAACATTAATAATTTTTGCCTAATATGAAAATTGAGAACTGTCTATTTGATTTAGCAATAAACATGTTTTCACCTCCCACCTTTTCTTTGCCTCTCTAACGCACTAATTGTTACCTATGGCCTTCCTCTAAAGTTATAAATCTCGGGCACTTTACATTCTGATTCATATTTCATATATCCTGTTGAAGAGTAGTTAATACTTCTCGAAACCATGAGATATGGGAAAACATTTTATAAGATTGAGATTTTTTTTTCCTCTTTTTTTTTTTTTTTTTTTTTTTTTTTGGAATCTCACTATGTCACCCAGACTGGAGTGCAGTGGCATGATCTTGTCTCTCTGCCACCTCCACCTACCAAGTCCAAGCCGTTCTCCTGCCTCAGCCTCCCAAGTAGCTGGGAATACAGGCAGTGCCACCATTCTGGCTGATTTTTGTATTTTTAATGGAGACAGGGTTTCGCCATGTTGACCAGGCTGGTCTTGAACTCCTGACATCAGGTAATCCACCCACCTCGGCCTCCCAGAGTGCTGGGATTACAGGTGTGAGCCACTGCACCTGGGTGAGTTATCCATTTATTTTAAACCTATGGACAGAAAATCCACAGATCATCTCTAAAATAAATTTTGATCATATTCAGTTTTACTTATGTAATAATAACATTCATTAGTGACATATTGCTATGACATTGAAAAAGTATTTTTATTTACCTTGTCTGTTCCAAACAAAATCATCTAATACAGTAAAATGCCCAGCTGTGAAGCTTACACCGTCAGATTATACCACCTGCTAACAACTTTTTGTTGGAGTCAGCCATAGCCGTGGGCTTCACTCCTCCTTGTCCCTTGAAGATTTTAACATCTGCCTCCCTGTTGTTCTCTCCATACTAACACTTGATAGGCTTGTTGGTGATTTTAATATCCATGTCAGTCCCTTGATCTTGATTACTAATTGTGAGGGATCTTTCTATCTGCAGTTGCTCTGGGTCTCCTCTTTGTACAGTCCATACCAACTATATTTCCAATGTTGGATGACCTGCATTTGTTGGAATTACAGAAAGTTTCTTTTACTTCATCATACTTTGTAAAATGTGAGCTCTATCTCTTAGGATCTCTTTGCTTTAAGTACTGTACATTCCCTCAGTCTCAGATTCTAATTTTTATTCTGCCAGTGCCACAGGAGTAGTGGGGTGAGATGAGAGATGTGTAGGGCGAGGAAAGATTTTATATCTTTCTTATTTGGGGATGTGGTGTTGGTGGTGGGCAATCCCAAATAGAGTTTGCAGCAGATGCCTGTGTCAAACTCTTAACATCCCATTTGACTTTAATAATTGAGTTTTCTATTTAACTGTTTCCTATCCATCATTATAATGCATTATCTGATTTAATCTTATGATGCGGTTCTGATCAGGACACTAGATCAGAGAGAAAATGTGACTTACTTAAGGTCATGTATCTAATAAGTCAGAACCAAGTACAGACTACATTTCTTCTGAATCCAAATGCATTTTTTTATTGGCATTACAAAATGCATTGTTCAAAATGGCCAGTAGTTAAGAGAGTTGCTTTGGCTTTCTGCCCAGGATAGTGTTAAAATACAGTGGCAATTCAATAAATGTCATCAGTGGTGTCTGTGGTAGTGGTTGTGGTGGTGGCAGATCAAGAATTGTCCTGAATTATTCTAATGGATGCTTTTATTTTCTTTTTTTTTCTCTCTTTTTTTTTTTTTTTTTAGATTGGCAAACGCACTGCCTATTTACAGCATAGAGACCCCAGAGGAGAGCTAGGTGGGTGATGATTCATACTAAATCTTTCCCACAGTATGCTGAATGCTACAACTGCAGCTAATATGAAGTGACTCATTAAACACTGTCAAATCTGATAATGGCAACGACTGGTTTTGCTAGCACGAGCGATTTGTGGGAAGTCCAGCTACTGCAAACCACTACTGAATTTCAAAAACTAAGCTGCAATATAGTAGAAAAGACATATCCACTGAGTCATATTTGCAAATTTCTTGTGTTTCTCTTTGCCACTTTAGAAACAGCCTCATGTTCCCTGCTTGACTCGAGAGATGACTTTCCTTTGGATTCACTTATCTGGTGAGTGGTTCCTCATTCAGTCATATTTTATGGGCTAAATATTTTATAAGAGTATTAGTGGCTTATGGACAGAACTGGAAATGTGGTTCTCCCGTGGCAATATTTCTGAAGCTCCCGCTTTACACCACCATCCACCAGCAAACCATCCCATACACATAAACGTATTTACCTTGTGTAGCATAGTTCCCATGAGTGGTAGTCCTATCTTCAGAGAGATAAGATGAGGAGGTAGCAGGAGGCAGGAACACTGACTCTTTGCTCGATGATTTATTGTATCATCATTAAATTGTAATCTCCTGGAAGGCAGGATTCTAACTTATTTAGCTACTTAGTACCTATGAGCTGTAGTTGGCCCTTTATAAATATTTGACAAAATTCATGCACTTCCTTCCAAAAACTTTATTATTAAAGCAGGAACTGGAGTTTAACCTTCTTGTCTCCCTTGTCCCTGGTACAGTGACTGACACATAATAGGAGGAAAACTACATGTTTGTCTAATGAGAAAACAAAGGTGCAAATGAGTTCATCAATTAGATGGTTTCCTGCAGCCAAATTAATACCTAAGCAAGTGATTTTCAACCATCAGAGACAGAACAGTGATGGCTTCACATCATGTTTTTTCAGACCCCCAGGAGTAATGCCCTAAAAGTAGTTGTTTATTTTGGAAGGCAAAAGCTAATCTGAAGCTATTTTCTTTATTTTTATATTCAAATACCTACAAAACAGAAAAACACCAGAGACCTATTCATTGCTCACAAATGATCTATGGGGCAATAATGTGCTTGTTTTCCCAGCTGTGCTGCACTTTGGTGCTATCTTGGGTTTAATTGAAAATATGCTGTGACCTTGGTTTTGTTCACTGGGCATGTGGGGGTAGAATTGGCATGAGGCCTCTGAAGAATTCCCTTTTAATGAATGTCATTTGACTAATTTGGGGTTCGCCTGAAGGAAATAATGTGTGAGGTCCCATAAAAAAAAAAAAAACAAGATGAGTTTTATTCGCATGCAATACACATGGAGTTAATGATTTAAAAAAAGAAATCAACTTTTTATTTTGCCATACCTATTTGTTGAATTCTAAATGCTATCAGTATGATAATAGTATTGTCCCTAACCGTCTCATGTTTCATCATAATTAAATAAACAGCTTGTGAATTGCAGTCCAAAAAATGTCTGTGTTCCACTCCTAACTTAAGGGGTTTCCATAGAAACTGTGAGCAGCAAGTTTAACTGACATTTATTGGACTTGAGGCTATATGCAGTATTGATAGCTCACTGTTTTCTCTCTAGTACTCTGTGTATGGGTCTTCTTTTCTTCCTTTAACCCTCCTAAACTATTTTCCCCTCAGTTCTCACCGCCTCCTCTTCTTCCTCCCTCTCTTTCTCTTATTAGCAATGAGGAAGTAATTTGGACTTAGTTAGATTTAACAAATGCAATAATACTCAAATGGGCTCTGACACTTAAGTGTAATTGTGTTATTAGCTGGAAATGTTTTTCTTCAAAAATGAAAGAATTGGGAGTGAAGTTTACTAAGATAGCACACATTGGTAAGAAGGAACTCTTGGCTGTCACTTGAAAGTTTGTAGTCTGTGTATCATAATCCACATTCATATCCAGCTGTGGCTTGCTCTTTATTTATTCAACCCAGACTGATATTTCTCCCGAGTCCTTACTTTCCTCCCGGAGAATAAAAACTGTGTGCTGATCATAATTCAAGAGAAAGTAAGAATTTACTTAGGAAAGATAAAATGTACTATATATTGAGTACCTACTGTGCAACATATATTTTGCTATGTACTTTTACTGATGTTTTCTAGTTAACCCTACAAAATTCACTGCCAGATAGCGTGTGGAAGGAAAATGAATCTGGAGCTGGCAGTTCAAGTTCAGGCCCTACCACAGAGTAACTGTAAAACCTTAAACATGGTACTTTAATGCTTTGTATTGGTTGCTCAAAGACAAAATTGATAGGAGCACTTCTAAGCCATGAGGTTTGGTTAGGATTAGATGTGAGACTACAGCTAGTACATCATAGTAGTAGTGCTAGTCTTCATCCCTTTAGAAATGAGGAAAACAAGTTGCCAAAAGAATATGTCATTCAGCTTGGACAACATAGCAAGACCCCATCTCTATAAAAAATGTTAGAAGCAACCAGGTGTGGTAGCATGCACCTATAGTCCAGCTACTTTGCAGGGAGGCTGAGGTAGGAGGATCACTTGAGCCCAGAAGTTCAAGATTACAGTGAGCTATGATCACACTATTGCACTCTAGCTTGAGTGGCAGGCAAGACTCTGTCTCTGAAAAAAAAAAAGGAAAAAGAAAAAAAAGTCACTTATCCAAATTTACATAGCTAGCAGAAGATATGTCTACACAGTACAGTGGCTAAAAGGAGGTGGATTTGGACAGTACTAATTGTGTGATCTGGGTTAAGTGACAAACTTACAAAGCATCTGGCTCCTAATGTTTTTCATGGGGTTGTTGTGAGAATTAAATAAAACTGTGTATGTAAGTTAGTGCCTGTCATGGAAAGCACACCTTGTTTTTTGATCTCTTTGTCTCCTTTCCTCCTGCCACTTTTCTGATTTGTTTTGGTTTTGTGTGAATTCAAAGTTTGAAAATGATTGATCCCCAAAGTCTATCTAATACTTATAGTTTAAAGTGATCTTACAATTCATAAACTATCTCAAGTTATCCTGGTAACAATGAGAAAGGAAAGACAGATGCTACTACACACATTGTACAGGTTAGGAAAAAGGAGATATCTTTAATATAGTGAATGAAGAAGCTAAGGTTTTACCTAATTCCCCAGGGTCCTTTTTATAATTAAAATTTCCAACTCCATTGTTCTTAATTTGGATCCTATATTCACAGCTTTTAAGGCTAAAACCCAATAGATATTAACTCCTCTTTCTAATGAATGTGAGAGGAAGACACTTTTGGTCAAGAAGAAGGAAAGGAGGCAAGGAGAGGGTAGTCTCTTGCAGTCCTGTTTCCAGGTCATTCTTCTTGGATCTGAAGGGACATGTGGAAATGTAATTCTCAATTTCAGGGATAAATGAGGCAATGACTTTGTGCGACAATATGCCTATGTTGCTGGCTAGAGAAAAGGGGTGAAAGGAAGAGAAAAAGCAAAAAAATAAAAAATAAAAATCCAGATATCAATCCGAGATGTTGATTGACACATGGTGAATTCATTACTAGGTTACTAGGAAGAGAAAGTGTGAGAGTGCAGCTTGGGCAAGAGTCTGATAGGACATGATTACCTGTAAAAGTGATAGTTCCTCTTCTCACATACACACACACACACGTGCCCACGTGCATACATAGGTGTACAGGTTTAATCAAAATAAACACTTCTTTAAATTATAATTTTGTTGTTTCAAAGAGCTCATATTGGAGATAAAAATGGTAGCTCTATCTCTTTTTGTTGTTGTATGCTTATACTTGCCTTATTATTAGAATATTGATTCTCAACAAAAGCAAAATCAAAAACAAAACAAAAAGAATATTGATTCCATGTTATCTTTGGAAGAACCTTAAGCTACTGTGTCCATTTGGTGAGTGCTAGTTCAGTTAAAACTAAGTAATATAATCTCTAAAGCCAATTATCCTGCCACACAGAAATAGCAATATGTCACAGTGTACTGAAAGTGCGATCAAGTAATGGTGCTGCAGGCAAGCCCTCTGTTCTGGAACTCCCACTTTTCCCCAGGATTCCTCCATAAGTTAAATGATGCATGGCAACATTACAAAATTGGTGAAGCTGAATTTCTTTACTAGTTCTTAGATGAAAGTTAATTACAAATAGAAGTTTTAGTATTTTTCTTCCATGCCCTCACAGGTCATCTTGGTAGCCTTGGGACTGAAGAGAGTAGGTAAGAAAAGTCTCTCTGGATGGACCGGGCGTGGTGGCTGTAATCCCAGCACTTCGGGAGGTTGAGGTGGGCAGGTCACGAGGTCAGGAGATCAAGACCCTCCTGGCTAACACAGTGAAACCCCATGTCTACTAAAAATACAAAACAAAAACAAAAACAAAAAAATAGCCCAGCATGGTGGCAGGCACCTGTAGTCCCAGCTACTCGGGAGGCTGAGGCAGGAGAATGGTGTGAAGTCAGGAGGTGGAGCTTGCAGTGAGCTGAGATCTCACCACTGCACTCCAGCCTGGGCAACAGAGCAAGATGAAAGAAAGAAAGAAAGAAAGAAAGAAAGAAAGAAAGAAAGAAAGAAAGAAAGAAAGAAAGAAAGAAAGAAAGAAAGAGAAAGAAAGAGAAAGAAGGGAAAGAAGGGAAAGAAGGGAAAGAAAAGAAGGGAAAGAAGGGAAAGAAAAGAAAGGGAGAAAGAGAGAAAGAGAGAGAGAGAGAAAGAGAGAAAGAGAGAGAGAGAAAGAGAGAGAGAGAGAAAGAGAGAAAGAGAGAAGGAAAGAAGGAAAGAAGGAAAGAAAGAGTCTCTGGATGGATGCTGTAGCAGCCTTTTTTTTTTTTTTTAAGGGACCAGGTGGTAAATATTTTAGGCTTTGCAAGCCATATAGTTTATCATAACCATTCAGTTCTGCCCTTCAATGTAAAAGCAGCCATAGACAATGCTTACATGCATGGGTGTGGAAGTCTGCTAATAAAACTTTACTTACAAAAACTGGGATGGTGAGCCCAATTTTGCCTATGGGCAGTCATTTCCAAACCATTCATCTTAGAGTTTTGCTTACATCTCCATCCCCCTTCTAGTTCTGCTCACATGTCAGGTGCAGCTTAAAAAATGGGACTGAGAAATGTAGGAATGACACCTATATCATAATTTAACCTAATTTTGTGGATTGTACTTTGTACACACTGATTTCTTATTAAAGTTTATTTTTGTGATATGCCTTTGACATAGAAAGAAAACATATTCTGTCCTCACTTAACAGATGGGTACAGAAAGTTTAAGTAACTTGCATTATTATCACTCAACATCTCTGATATCCATACTAGAATCTGTCAGCCCTGTGCTTTTACAGTTGGAT